TTGCTTACTGTATCACACGATGCTCTTTTGGGGAAAGAGAACTCTTGGGTTTCGGTAACAATAGGCATATTGCTTCTGAGAAACTGGACTTGTTACCGACAGCGAGCTTCTAACTGCCGGAGCACTCTTCTCTCACCGGTGGCCCATCTGCAGTGCATCTGCTCCAGCTGTGCTCCTGGTACTGGGCTTCTCCTGCCTTACCTGTATCTCTGCCTCATTCTGAGTCCTCCAGCTAGTGCTTTTTTTTTTGGTGGTGATTGTGTGTGTGTGTGGGGGGGGTATATATATTTTGTGAGAGACTATGTCCTGTGGTAATCTATCTGGAGTAAAACGGTTAAAAATAATTTTGTGCAGGGGGTGAAGTTTAGTGGCTTCCTGTGCACAAGAAAAAGTAGATGAAAGTTAATGATTTTTAGGTCATAACCTAATGACCTAGTTCTACCTTATAATTGTTGAGTAAGAGCTTGTGAGGTGTTTATCCTCTAGTCAAGCTTTGAGTAAAAGATCGTCTCTGAAAGTTAAGGCTGAGATGAGAGGATTGGGAATTGAAGGCCAAGACCGTGCCTCCAGTGCTGAGTCCTTGTGTGGGCTTCAGGGACTTGGGCCTGAGTGAGGTGGCAGGGGAATGAAGAGCAGACAGACAGGATAGACAAAAGAAAGCAAACTGGGCTTGAGTGGTCTAGGCTCTGCTGGAGAAGCCACAGCACCCTGGGAGCTCAGTGGGTTTAGTATATAGAGTTGAACAAGGAGTCAGTGTTTGGAAAATACAGCTGGATCAAGGAGACAAGGCTCAGCTAACTCTGTAGGAGCGGTTTCTGCAGGAGAGCAGTCTGCAGGCCATTAACATGCAGGGGGAGAAAGACAAGGCTGACATTCTCTCCAGTGTCAGCATCCACACTTGAACCAGAGGAAAGCCTTCTTCTCATGCCTCGTCCTCACCCAAGGGAGAAGGCCCTGCCATTCCTCCACAGGCCTGAGGCCATGCCTATGTGAGTAACATATGCACTCAGGATGTCACTCCCATATACCAGAGCAAACACATACATTCACACTCCCCACCCTCTCCTCCCTCCTCCCTCTCCCAGCCCTCCCTCTTCTGTTTCTGCCTCTCTGTCTGTCTGTCTGCCTTTCTGCCTGCCTGCCTCTCCCTCCCCCTCTCCTCCTCCTCCCTCTCCCCCCCACGAGCACTTTAAATATAATTAACACAGAAAGTTCCTATTTCCAGAGTAGCAGTAATGTAGCTATCTCAGTAAAACTCCTTACTTACCTGAAGCAAGATTGCCAAGTCCACCTGTGGTGATCCCTGTTGGCAGCAGTCGAAATAGACATTTTCTTTTAAGAATTTTTATTTTCAATTAAGAAATAAAATATGCCATCTGCGGACTGGAGAGATAGCTCAGAGGTTAAGAGTACTGGCTGGCCGGGCGTTGGTGGTGCACGCCTTTAATCCCAGCACTCGGGAGGCAGAGGCAGGCAGATCTCTGTGAGTTCGAGGCCAGCCTGGTCTACAGAGCAGCCTCCAAAAACAATACAGAGAAACCCTGTCTCAAAAAAAAAAAAAAAAAAAAAAAAAAAAAGCACTGTCTGCTCTTCTAGAGGTCCTGAGTTCAATTCCCAGCAACCACATGGTGGCTCACAACTATCTGTAATGAGATCTGGTGTCCTTATGGAGGCAGAGTGCTGTATAAATAATAAATAAATAAAATCTTTATAAAAATATGCCATCTGCAGTTGCTTTGGTTTTAGCACTGCTAAAAAAAATTACCTCATAGCAAAAATATCCTAAAGAAAAATGACTAGTTGTTTTAAATTCCTTTACTCTTTTAAATGGTATCTTTCTGTTAAGTGACAATTTGTAATGAAGTGCTCATCTACATGTTGATACATGTTATAGTTACTTTGTGCTTGCTACCTTCTAAGATTCTAAACTCCCACCCAGTTCCTGTTTGTGGGATTCCGTTATGGAAGATTTGTTGTATGGCAATAGAATCTTCATAGCTGGGTTAATTACACTGTAGTATGCTGGTATGGATTGATAAGCATAGGCATTTTTTAAAGATTTATTTATTTATTAAGTATACAGTGTTCTGGCTGCATATATGCCTGCAGGCCAGAAAAGGGCACCGGATTTCATTAGGGATGGTTGTGAGCCTCCATGTGGAGACTGGGAATTGAACTCAGGACCTCTGGATGAGCAGCCAGTGTTCTTAATCTCTGAGCCATCTCTCCAGCCCAAGCATAGGCATTTTTAAGACATTATCTCTGTTTTATTAGGAGTATCTTTTGATGTGTTAAATTTATTTTTACTTTTAAGAAATATTTATTTAATTTTTCTGTAACTGATTCTCTGTAGTATGTGCAATTTTACTTTTAAAAATCTGGAAGTTGTGTGTGCTGGGTTATACCTGTGATCTCTACACTTAGGACAGTGAGACAGGGGGATTGCCATGAGTTTAAAGCCAACATGGACTACACACCAAATTCCAGACCAGCCAAGACAACTATATAGCAAAACTTCTCTCAAAACAGCAAAACAAACAAAAGATCTGGAAAGCAGCCTATTGAATGGATTCATCTTTTTAAAAAACCAAGCCTTTATCTATCTGTCTATCCGTCCATCCATCCATCCATCCATCCATCCATCCATCCATCCATTTTGGTTTCTAAGTGTAGCTTTGACTGTCCTGGTCTCAAAGTCAGGGAGCCACCTGCCTCTGCCACCAGAGTGCTGGGATTAAAGGCATGTATCACCATCACTCAGCATAAACTGTTTTAATTTATATTTGCACAGTAGCCTGTGACCTTCTACCTTGAGGGGTGTGCCAAAACAAATTGCTGAAGTAGGTTTGGATGTAACTAGGAGTGTATAATGTAAGATTGCATCTTCTTTGCCTCAAATGGAACAATTCCTGGAAATGGGATCTGTCTGTCTTGGCTCACCTCTCTGGAATTGCCCCTTTTCTGTATGTATGTGTTTTAAATAAACATTTTTTATTGCTTTCTCATTCATTTCTTAATATTTAAAAAACCAAGTTAATTTTGTAGTAGCTCCCCTTGATCACATGAACCCTGTACAAGATTTCTATTTGTACTGCCTCACGGATCACTCAGAACAAGTTCCCACAGAGACCTGTTTTGTTCTGTAGTTGGTCCACCCTAACGAAACCAGTTTCCAAACTATGCAGGGCTTTATAAATCAAGGTGAACTGGTTAGAAACTGTATAGAGAAACAAACAAGAAACCAGCTAATGCTTCCTGGTTAGCAAGCAGTGTGTGTAATGTACTACAATTTTAGGTAATAAAATTCCCTGTATTCTAGGAACACCTACTCTAATTAGAAAGTTTGTTTCACATTGTAACTTTGGTTAAAAGCCATTAACTATTGTTACAATTGTTAAATAACACAAATACAACTTGTAAGATACTTCAGGCAACAGAAGATATAAGGCAGTTTATGAATTTGAAGTCTGTGTTTCTTAGCCATCCCTACATGTGGTAACTAAATGCCAGGGTGTAGAGGAAGAGGGGTTTGGTGTGTGGGCTAGGAGCTCCTTCTCTATAGTATAGCATAATGACAGTGAACACAGAGGCATGTTGAGCTTGCTTTGCCTGGGACTGTCCATTGCTATGTCAGAAAGGAAGGAATAGACCCATATATAATTCATAAATAACAGTATATTTTTTTGAGAGTTTAGCTGAGATACGGGTATTCAAAGCATACTTTATAAATGTTGAAGATGCCCTTGAAATATATATATGTATTATCTTCCAATAACGTTTTGTCAGATTATTTCACCTTGTCAGCTTTTACAGCTAACAGGACCTTTCCAGTTGTTAGCTTCAGCTGACCTAGTCCAAACACTGTGTTTTAACTCGAATAGCCATCCAAAGAATCTGCATCTGTGACGTGATTTTCCCCCTTTGGAGAAATAAAAAGAGAAAAAGATGTCCTTTACAATGGCTGATATCCTTTCCAACAGTGGGCAAAGACCAGCCTTCCTCAAAAGAAATGGGAGGACTCCCAGAACCTAAATCCTGTAGCATATGAGCGTGTCATATGTGAGACCCGAAACTATTACAGAGGATGACCTGTAATAGGGCACATTTAAACTCTTATTTGTTTATACAAACACATTTTGAGAATAAAATCTTAAATTTTTCTTTCCCTTAAAGCCCTTTCTTCAGCAGATGCCCATGTTCACATCATGTTTACATTCATGTTATTTTCTCATAAAACCAAGAGAAGTGGAGGAGTTTTGTTTGTTTAAGGCTGGGCCTCTAAGGAGCGTTTGTAAAACATTTTCCTTACAAGAGCACAAAAATGAAACAAAATGCACTATGGCTTCCTGCTTGTTCTCACTGACCCATCTTAACTTTCAGTTACTACTATCCCTAATAAACTCTGATAATTCTGATTTTTCAGTTTAATTCAGAGTCACTGGTAGAATTTGAATTGTTGAAGTAATCTTGTGTTTCTCTTATTAGATTTTTATATAGGTTTAGTTTACAAACAGTAAAATCCATGTATCTTAATTATCCAATATTCGTATTGATCTACTACATCCGGGCCAACGAGGAAGACTTTCTCAGAGTCACCTTTGAAACTCTTTAACACGTTGGCATGTTAGAACTATTATGTATATAATTGAGTTATATACATAAAGCACATGATATGTCATGGAATCTTACATAGATAAAAGTTAGTTACTGCATTTAACTTTGTAATTGTTTTTAATTATTTTGTGTGCATGTGTGGGTGTGTGTTCCATAGCATGTACTTGGACATCAGAAGAAAACTTGCAGGAGGTGGTTCTCCTTCCATGATGTAGGTCCAGGGAATTGAACCCAGGTCCTCAGACTTAGTGGCAGGACCCTTTACCTGCTAAGACATTTGCCCACCCAAGGTTATTTTTAAAACATTCCAATGAACCTTTTTATGGGGCTTGCCATATTGTCTTTTGGATGAGATTCTTAATTTATGTGGTTTTATTTGTTTTTAGAAAATTAATGCAAAACTTCATGATGGAGTATGTCAGCGCTGCAAAGAAGTTCTTGAGTGGCGTGTAAAATACAGCAAGTACAAACCACTGTCAAAACCTAAGAAGTGGTGAGTCAAGTTTCTTAAATTCCTTCCAAGAATATACCCAGGATTGGTGTAGTTGGGTTCCCACTCTTTAGGTTTGTATGTTTGTTTCAACTAACTTCTATAGTGGCTGCACAAATTTACATTCGTATCACGAGTTTGTAAGAATTTCTTTCCTTACACCATTGACGTATTGATATATATTCTCTGCCCTCATAGCCATTTTGACCTAGGTAAGATATATCTCCATTTCCACCTCCTTAGCACTGGGATTACAGGCAGACACTGCCATAAACAGCCTTTTACGTATGTGCTGGAGATCCGAACTCAGATCCCCATGCTTCTGTGCAGGCACTTTCCTGACTGAACCGTCTTCCAAGGCCCTGATTATTGTTTTATATTGCTGACTTTCCTTTCTAGGCACTGGGTTGAATTAGTCTGGTATTGGTATCCATTTTGCATTTGTTCATTTCTTTGTTTGTTTGAGACAGGGTCTCACTATGTAGTTATAGCTGTCCTGGAACTCACTGTGTATACCAGGCATGCTTTGAACTCATAAAGATCCAACTTGTCTCTGCCTCCTTAGTGCTGAGATAAAGGTGTGTGCACCACCTACCGGCAAGTTGTTCACTTCTTATAGTAAACTTTAGATTTCCTGGCATCGCACCTACTCTGGTGTTGTACTATGTAGGCTTCTCATGTTTCCTACGTTTCTTCCTTGGGATTTGATCATCTGCCGGGATGTCCCTTTTGGTTGTGTTTGAGGATCTTACTGCTTAGTTTCCTCTTGAGAGCTTAGTTAGCCGTATCATTCAGAGACTTCCAGGTCTGTATACAAAGGTTGGAGCTGACTGAGTTGTGGACTTATCTTTCTTGTAGTTTATACAGGAAAGTATATTGAACCTACGTGACACAAATGTTCAATGGCCTCTAGAGTTGTCTTCACTTGAGTAGTTATAGTAGTTTGAAAGAAAATGGCCCCCCAAAGGAGTGGCACTATTAGGAGGGTTGCCCTTGTTGAATTAGGTATGGCCTTTTAGGAGGAAGTGTGTCACTGTGGGGGAAGGCTTTGAGGTCTCTTTTGTTCAAGCTTCATTCCATGTGACACTCACCTACTTCCCATTGCCTGCAACATGTAGAACTCTGAGCTACTTCTCCAGCACCATGTCTGCCTGCATGCCACTGTGTCCCGCCATGGTGTTCAAGGACTGAACCTCTGAACTGTAAGTGGGTCACCCCAATTAAATGTTTTCCTTTATAAGAGTTGTTGAGGTCATTGTGTCTCTTCACAGCAGTAGAAACCCTAACTAAGAAGCATGCTGTCATTCTGTATCAGGAGCCTGTGTTAACACTGGACCCTGCAGTCTGTGAGCCAGGCATGTTCTCTCGCCCTCCTGATACTTCATTGGTCATGCCCAAGGTGGCTTATGTTTTAGCTAGGGAACATCTCACTAGAACATCAGGACTGGGGAAGCAAGCACAGTCCGAAGGCTGTCCACAAAGTCGTCTTCTTTAAACCTTTTAAAGCATCATCACCCTGCAGGTGTGTGTCAGATATGCCCTGTGGGCTTCCAGCTCTCCAGCTTTACAGCAGTGAGTGGCAGATGATGCTCCGGAGCTTGAGTCTGACCAGGACGGTCTGTTTCCAGGGTTACTTTCAGTTGATAAAATCTGGTCCAGGACTCAGGAAAGCAGGAATGCTTTCCTCTGGGCCCTTCTGTTCCTGGGCCAGGCTCCCTTGCCCTCCACAACCAACCCATAGGACAGTTTCTGACCATAGCACCATGGCAGGTTAATTTAGTCTCTCTGCCTTGTGGCAGCAATCTGTTCTCACCCTTCCACAGTTGCCCAATTTTAAACAGTACTTGCTCTCTTAAGGTGGCGCTTGGCCGCTGCTCTCCAGGTGATACAGAGTGTCAAAAAATGGGATTCCTCTGTACCACTGACCCATCTCCTGGAGACTGAGTTTGAGGCTAGTGAGGGCTGTTGGCTGCTCCTGGGGTCTAGGTCACACAGTTTCTGACTCACCATCTTGCTTGGACATGCTGTCTTTCTTAGTGGGAGGAAATCTTAGGAGTTTGTGCTAGCCACCTAACTATAGTAGAGGTTATCCCAGGGTATTAATTTTCAGTGAAAACTGTTTTAGCCTTTTCACAGATCTAACACTCCAGCTTTGGAGCATTTTGTTTACTTACAAACATTTAATAGCCGTGGGCATGGTAGCACATGCCTTTAGTTCTAGAACTCACTGGGAAGGTAAGTGGGTCTCTGTGAGTTCAAGGCCGACCTGATCTTTAGAGCAAGTTCGAAGACAGCCAGGGCTAACCATCTCAAAAATGGGGGAGGAGGAGATTTTTAATAACTGTGGGTGTTTTAATTTTGGCTATTTATTTTGCATTGTTAGGTGTTTCTTGATATTGTTAAAAAATCTCAAGAAAGGGTCAACACTGAATTAGCTATTTAGATTTTTATTTCCCCTCTGTATTGTTTTCTCAGTATTTTTTTTTCATTGTGGATATTGCTGAGTCTTCTTTTAGATAGTGTTATATATGTCAGTGTTTTCTTCCTGCTCTCGAGCATTTTTCCTAAAGAAAATCCGTTCAATGGCTGAAGGTGTAGCACAGGGGTAGAGTATATGCTTACATCCTGAATTCAATTCCCAGAATTTAAAGCCAGCAAACCATAGCTTATAAACAAGCCTATTGCATCTAATGCTAAGTCACCTAAATTGACAACTGGGAAATTAAGCTGTAGGAAAGGTGGTTAGGGTACCAATTTTAGCTTTCTATGAATGAATAATTGTTTTCTAGGTAGCAATTAAAAACTAGCTGTGCAGTAAGTCATGTACTTGTAGTTAATAAACCAAACACAAGGTATGTGGTTTCAGAGCATTTCCTATAAGGCGCTCTTCCTCTAAAGTGTGGAAGGTTTCACCACTGTTCCATTTCCCTCTGGCAGCCTTTCTCCCAAAGTTAATTTGAAGTATACACAGTAGGCCTTTTAGCAGACATTGTAACAAGCAAAGTCACTTAACTATATTCCTTCCGTGTCCATTACTTGTTCTAATCTAGGTAGTCTGCTGTGTCCTGTGTGCTTATCTTTGTTATGAGGATGTCACTGTGAAAGATCGCCAGCAGACTTCACTAGAAGTGGTTATTTCTCATCTGTCTCATGTGATCTACTGTTTTATCAAGGGAGATGAGAGCTAAAGGTGACTCAAGGCCTGCTGTCTATCACACACAGAATGAAGTAAGTGAGGTATTATATTATATAAATACAAAATACAGATAGGTCATTGTGATAGTTTGAATGTAATTAGCCCCCGCAAGTTCATAGGGAGTGTCAACTGTTAGAGGTGTGGCTTTGTTGGAGTAGGTTTGGCCTTGTTGGAGGAAGTGTGTCACTGTGGGGATGGGCTCTGAGGTCTCATACATGCTTAAGCCACACCCAGTTGGATAGTTCACTTCCTGTTGCCTACGGATCAAGGTGTAGAACTCTCAGCTCCTTCTCCAGAACCATGTCTGCCCACATGCTGCCATGTCCCACCATGATAATAATGAACTAAGTCTGAAACTGTAAGCAACCCAATTAAATGTGTTCCTTTATAAGAGTTGCCATGGTTGGCTGGGTGGTGATGGTGGTGCACACCTTTAATCCCAGCACTTGGGAAGCAGAAACAGGAGGATCTCCATGAGTTCAAGGTCAGCTTGGTCTACAGAGTGAGTTCCAGAACAAGCTCCAAAGCTACAGTGAAACCCTGTCTTGAAAAACAAACAAACAAACAAACAAGCCAAAAAAAAAGTTACTGTGGTAATAGTGTCTCTTCACAGCAATAGAAACCCTGATAAGACAGTCATTAAGGGAAATCACCAAGAATAAGGAAGTCCATGCAAATACAAAGCAAAGTGTGACTCCCAGGAGCCTGAGAAATACTAGTCAAAGCAAAGAGAGGAAAAGCCTTTTTCATCTGCCTTTCTGCATCTTAACTGGGATTCAGTATCTAAAGTGGAATAAAACCCAAAACTGCAAATGCAACTGATGCACATTTTATATAGCATGGAGACCTTCTTAAAGAAATGAAGGCCTGAAGAAATGGTTAATTCCAAGGTAGGCCTACACTTGTAAAGCCTGCACTTGGCAGGCTTGGCAGACCACAAGTTCAAGGCCAACCTAAAATATATAAGGAGTTGTAGACCTGCTTGTTATAAATAGTTCAGTCCTCTCTCAAGACACCAGGAAGGAAGGGGGAAGGGAAAGGATGAAGAGAGGATTAAACCCTAGTGTTTTCACCCCAGGTGTGCTGAAATGTGGGAGCCATTGGGGATTGCAATAGAACAAAGCAGTACCATAGTGAGTCTTAAGCCAGTGGGTGGGAGTGTTGTGTGGCTGATGTGTTCAGCTCCTCCTGTCTCTGTCTTTGGACATAGGATGCTTCTGCCTTTTAGGTGTCAACAGGATTTCTCTCACATAAGGGCCTTCCAGTACCTGCTCTATCTTGGATTCTGGAAGCTTAAGATGGTCCTTAATCCAAGGCACCTTTGTGGTTAGAATGTTATAAATTCCTAAAATCTAAAAATGTTACTCATGGTGTCAACTGTCTAGTCTTAGAACACCCTGAGTTTCTGATTATCATGATATGTGGCACATTAGGTATGTTGGGATTTCACAGTCCAGTCCATGACTGCAGTGTTGAAGGAATATACTTCACCTGTGTCCATTTGACTTCACTGTGTATTAAAGATATATCCCATATTGTAAGGGATTTGAGTGTATTGATGATGCTGACAGTAAAACTTAATTTAAAATGTAAAACACTTTATTCAAGCCAACCACCCAGAAAAATTATCCTTTGTTAAGGTTTATATTCCAACCTAGAACAGCTTGCATCCTAATTAATACATCATATAAATGAAAATACTCCAAGTGTTTTATTGTATCTGTTTTCACTTTATGTACCCTAAAATGCTCTGTACCCCTAGCCTATAGCAGGGCAAAATCACCTAGCACAAACTAAATCATAATTG